ACTGAGTCTATAATAACCATATATATATATATATATATATGGTTATTATAGACTCAGTTTTTTCATTCATTCAACCTTTATTTATACAGATTAATCCCACTGAGCCTTGGCGACTCATTTACAAGAGAGACCTGGAGGAAATGTTAAATATGAATATTTCTAAATTTATCACCACAGTAGTAGCGCTGTTACACACATTAATTGTTGTAAACACTCAAAAGAATACATATGTTGGTTTAGTGTTTATACCTATACTCCTAAATATCTAAGGTGTAAACATTTTTAATAATCACGTTAAACAAATGTTGTCTTTGGTGCCTGTTTGTTTTCTAAATATATTAGTGTGTGTGTGAATGACAGACATTAACTTAAAACACTTTGTAGAACAATGTTTTGTGAAGTTCAGTCCTTTGCTTTGCATTAGCTGACTGGCAGATCTGCCACATTCAATATGGCGGACGCACTGACGTACCGCTGTAGTCGCCAGCCCGCTCAACGAGGCGTCTATGTATATATGTCTATGCTGTAGACAGCCTCCAATGCGAGTCACTGAGTTTATGAAGTAGTCTGCAATCACTTCTGGGGCACTGTTTGTGAAATATGCCTCAATCCACATTATGTCATGACTAAATCCATCAATGCAGCCAGCAATGCCATACAGCTTCAGTTGATCATTCATCATTTTACCTCAGTTGTAAGACTGCTTTTTCGTTCATAATGTGATTTTTTTTTTCTTAGCGTGGCCCTAAACCTCTTGTCGTAATAACTGAATCCTTAAAGTTAGAAGTTTAATATGACCTAAAACACACGTGTCAAGCTCAAGACTCATATCTGGTTCTTGTTATCATTTTGACTGGCCCTCAAGATAAAAATAACAAAAGGCTAGCTAAATGCCCAGACACTAAAAGCAGATGGCTGCCCATCCAGAGCCCAGTTTTGCTTTGTGTTTCTTCCAGTTAAAGGGAGTTTTTCATTCCCACTGTCGCCAACGTGCTGCTCAGGATGGGAGGTTACGATAAAATGAAGATTTGATGCAATCTAATGGCTTCATTGGGAATAAATCTCTTTCTAATTAGCATTTTATAATGAATGTGAATGTTTTTGTACAATGCTCTCTGAATACTTTTGTTATGAATTGGTGAAACTGAATTGAATTGTGAAGCTAAATATCAGAGTCAGAGTTATGCCCCTTTTCCATTAGTACCGGTACGGGCCGACTGGACCCTACTTGGCCTGGTTCTGAGGCTTTTCCATTAGTACCGGTACTTAGCACCTGTTACTATTTTCAGTACCCTTGGCTCTGTGGTTTTAACCGGAACAAGTTAGAGAGATTTATTTGTCATTCGCATCTCTTGTGGTACATGTGGTGGAACGAGATTATGTACACAGGGTCCCAGTTACATCCAACAATAAAATGTAAAAGAAAAACAGTAATAAGATCTAAGATAAGAAATAAGAAAAACATCAGCTAAATAATACACTAAGCACTAATAGCATAAAAACATTATGTCGAACAGCAGCACAAACGTATACACGAACAAATATAGCAGAAGGCTAAGAAAAAGTAGCAAAAGGCTAAAAACAAGTCAAATGTAGCTAAAGCTAGCTAAAAGTGAAGAAGCCAAGTTAAAAGTTAAAGTAACAAAAGCTAGCTAGATCTGAAAGAAACAGCTACAGTATCTAAAAGCTAAAGGTAGCAAAATGCTCCCAAAAATCTAAAGTCTAGATAAAATTACTAACAAACTAAGTAGAAGCTAAAATTAGCTAAAGGCAGTCTAAAAGATACTATAGCAGGCTAGCTAACAATTAAAATAGGCTGGTTTAAAACTAAAAGTAAAAGTTGACAAAATAAGAGCAAAAGTGCTGAAGTAGATTTGGAAAATAAAAAGGTTTTGCTGGAACTAAAGAGATATCAAAACATTTCTGTGGGAAGAATTTTTGTAAGTAAAAATTTTCTAAAAGTATAAAAGTTACATAAACCAAAAGTCATAGCATCCGTCACCTGAATGAGCTGAATGTTTTGTTGTTAATGAAGGGGTAAAATACTACAAAGTTGCAGAAGTAGTTATATTGCAAAAATGTGGCAAACAACCGCACAGAAACACATTAAATAGTAAAGAACAAAGTAAAACAGGGTGATGAAACAGATAGTAACATAAGTCAACAAAGTAAGAAGACAGAAGAAAAATAACTATGTGTGGATTATTACAAGTGCACAGAGAAATATCCAATATTTAACCATCTCATTTAACTTGAAATAATCTTTGCATGTCCTTTTTCTTATCTCATGTTTGTCACAGGGAAGAATGCACTCTCTACAGACAAGCCTCCATCAGGAGAGTCAACTCTGTCCACACAGAGAAAGATGTGGTACGAGCACTAATTTATTCTGTATAAACTGTCCTGCTGCAGAACCAGTTTGTGTTTCCTGTTGTGTCTGCACATCCTGGTAGTGAGGCATGAGGAATGCTGCTCGCATGTTTCAAAAAGTCTAATATAGAAATGAAACAGTAGGACTTCATGCAGTGGGATTTTGATATTTGCATCTTAGGCTTCCTTTTTAAAAGTTTGGAGTTTTGTCAGAACATTTTGTTAGCTCTACCATAGGTGTTGCATCAATTATATGTGAAGGGGGCGTGTCCCCACTTACATTTAAAAATATTAGTTTGGACCCACCCACCCCCACCCACTTACCATGAAATATTACTTCACCTAGCATTGTTTCTATTTCTTTGTGAATGAATCCATTCCACTTGACTAAAAGAAGAATACTCAAACCACTAAAAGTCCACTCCAGGTTTTCCTAGTTACCTACAACAATTCACCACACCATATGCAGTGTTTCCCCAAGATCACTTGGTTTGACAGGGTGCTCATCTCTGAGTTTTTATGTGAGCGGGACAGGGGAAGGAGGGGGAGATTCCTCTGTGAAGTGCGCTAGTTTAGCGCTACATTTGTGCCAGCAGTTGTTGACCAGGGTGGGAGGTTAGGATGTGGGAGAGAAGTGGAGCACTATATCTGTAGCATCTTAGCTAACCCATCTGTATTGCACGCTGCTAGCTTAACTCTACGTTAGTGCTGGCAGTTGTCGACTGGGTGTGTGTGTGTGTTAGGATGCTAGGATGCGTGAGAGAAGTGCAGCATGCTGTATTCACACAAGGAGAGCTGTTGGTCAGGCTACTTCTTGTTGTGCCATTAACTCTAAAATAGTTATTGAATCAAGTGTTTTCTCGTGTAGGTAAACATAGACATTTAACAACCAGTTAAAATACACCAGAATGCAGGAAATGGTATCTACTTTATTCATCATTTTCTGGGGGAGAACTCCAGACCCCCCCCCCCCCATCAATGTGTCACCCCCCCACATTACAAATGCTTCTGACGTCAATGAGCTATACCATGTGTTTTTTCTTTGCAGACAGAAGAAAACATCCCTCTGAGGGTGGAGGGAACCCTGAGGACCAGCCTGTCTTCCCTCGGGGTCAGTCTTCGTATCTCACTAAATCTGCATGCAAAGCCGGGGCCTGGGACTGAGGCTTTACTATCCAGATGCCGCATGGCTAAGTTCTGAGCTTTCAATGTAGAGCACTTCAGATTAATATTATCAACACACTGGACTACTGAAGCCCTCTGAGTTCCTTCAACACTTCTTTTTCCTTGGGAGGTTTGGCTTCTTTGGCTTTTTTATTTTTTTAAGTGTGCTCGTTTTTCTTCACACTGCTTCAACTGTTTTCAAAAATAGTTGGTTAACTGGATCAAAACTATGACTCCACCCTCTGATTCTGAATGTACATTCAGTCTTTCAGTCTAGTTCAGCCAGTTCTTGGATGGAAGAATAGTTTAAATGTAGTATCTCTCTGGGTTGTAACACTTGGTGATTAGTTTATGAGTAGCTTTTGCAAGGAAGTCTGGAAAATGTGTTCAGAGTCTTCAACCACTCTGAGTCTTAAGAGTGGTTCTTAATTTTCCTTCCATGAGTTGCCATGGGAATTCTGAACCCTTCTTATTTTGGTGTCTGTAAATATCTATCTCTGAAGCTCTTTTTTGACTGGAGTTGAAACTTCTGGGGCTACAGCCCTGAATGTCCAGGTCTAAAAAAACACACCAGTGATTAATAATATTTATATAAAAAGAAAAGTTAAAATCTGCTGGAAATCTTCATTTCTAAAAGTTACTCCGGTAGTTCAAATCACAAACATGAGGACAAGGAGAGTTCGAAGTGGGCCGAGGCAGGTACAATGTGGGCAGTGAAATAATCTGCACATCAGCTGTTCAGGACATGCACACAGAAATAGGTGATCATGTTTTAAAACTGAGATTATGCAAAATGTGGCTGCATGATTCACCGATAACCAAGATGGCAACAAAAAATAGCCTCTGTCCCAGTAAAGTGGTGCCTGAGCATGAATATTAGTGGGTCGAATAATCCTTTCCTGAATTGTTGCACAAATTTAACAAATTGCAGGACATTTTCTGTGAAGAAAGACAGGATTAGTTGCTTGATATTTAATTTGTTGCTTTTTTGCGCACAAATGGTTGCTTTTCTCTGTCGTGCGGGCCGAGGCTGCGTTTTGTGAAAGCATCCATCCGTCCGCCCATCCATCCATCATCTTTACCCACTTCTTCAGGGGGCTGAGATGGGGTAGATGTAAGGCAGCCGACTTGGGTCCAGAAAGTCGCGGTTCGACTCCCAGCCATTTCCATATGTCGTGGTGTCCTTGAGCAAGACATCCAATCCCTAACTGCTCCCCTGGTGCTTACATAGCTGCCCACTGCTCCACCTGAGTGTATCCCAGGTGTGATGGGTTAAATGCTGAGAACTAATTGCACCATTGTGTGGAAACATACAATGATGACAATCTCAGACTTCCCTTTCCTTCCCCCTCCTCTTCAGGTCATGGGGGTCACTGGTGCCCATATCCAACCATCACCGTCTGAGAGGCGGGGGACACCTGGACAGGTCTCCAGTCCATCACAGGGCCACATAGAGACAAACAAGACAAACAACCATTCACTCTCTCTCACACCTAGGGACAATTTAGAGTTACCAATCAGTCTAACATACATGTTTTTGGTCTGTGGGAGGAAACTAGAGTACCTGGAGAAAACCCACACATGCACAGAGAGAACATACAAACTCCATCCAGTAAGGTCCCAGGCTGGGATTTGATCTGGTGACCTTCTCACTGAGAGGCAACAGCCAGAGGTGGAAAGAGTACTGAAAATTTGTACTCAAGTACTTGTACAATGCTTAAATTGCACTCAGTTACATGTAAAAGTACTGGTGTTGTAAAAAATACTTAAGTAAAAGTACAAAGTACTCTTCTCAAAAACTACTCAGAGTATTAATTACCTTTTAACCAATTGATGTTTTGTTGTGTTGTCAATAGAAGGCATTCAGCTTTATTTACTGTATATAATAAATATAAATATAAATATAAAGCACATATCTCAGACGCTCCGAAGCTCTGTCTTGTTTTAGAACCAGTTAAACGGATGGCAGTGACAATATCTGAGACCTTTGCATATTTAGCCAAACTAATATCCCACACATACAAACAATAAAAAAAAGCAATATCATACAGGTAACCTCGTGTACCGCAACGTTTTCTGAGATTAGATGAAGTCTTGAAGCTGCTATCACCGTAGAGATCAAACACAGTTTACATCTAGACACTGTCTCCTCTTCACCCTCTGTACATAATTTCGCTCCACCACATGTACCACATGAGGTGCGAATGACAATAAAGAAACTCTGACTCTGACTCTGACTGACTGACATGAAACATTCCTCCAGGTACAGACACGGGCACTTGTCCTCAGCCTTTACCTCGTCATTTTCTCTGTTGACAGTTTGTCCTCTGTCTCCATTTTGGCTTTGTCTCCAAATCTTCGGTCCATAAATGACTCTCTACTCTACAGAGTTGTCCTTTGCTTACGTCATAGGTAATTGGTGCGTTTGCGATCTGAGAGTCTTATTGGCTACAAAGATGCAGATGAACGATTTGAATGTTAATTCAAACTGCGGCTGTACTCAGTAACGGCTACTGATTTTAAAAGTAGCGAAGTATATTACATGGCCTAATTTGTACTTAAGTATTAGTAAAATTACACACTTGAAAGAAATACTCATTAAAGTACAAGTACCTAAAAATCTACTTCATTATAGTAATGTGAGCATTTGTAATGCATTACTTCCATCCCTGGCAACAGCTCTACCAACTGAGCACTGTACTGCTTATGAAAACCTAGTAAAAAAAAATAATACAGGTCCTTCTCAAAAAAATTAGCATATTGTGATAAAGGTCATTATTTTCCATAATGTAATGATAAAAATGAAACTTTCATATATTTCAGATTCATTGCACACCAACTGAAA